AAAAATGGATACATTTTAATAAGCACTGCCTAGTGTTCATTATGTTCCAGAATGAGGAAACAAGTGACAAGATTGAGCCATTTGCCTTTTATGATTAGTCACAGATTATTCTATTTCTCGTGTGTGATGATTTACCCTCTTTTGTTTCGATATATACATTTTCTTTTCCTCTGTATGCAATTATAAGCGGCAGTAAGATTTAAAAAGTAGTGTTCTGAAAGGACTGTGGTATGTGGCCCAACTTACTGGAGATGTGGTGTTTGCTTGTTCAGGTTCTGCATTTTAAACTCGAATGGCTAGAAACTCTTCTGCTGTTCCCCAGTTGGACGTACATCCCCCAAAAGAGCCCGAACAGAACTGGATACTTGGAGATCCTAGCAGATCCAGTCCAAGTGATGCCGGGGCCAGAGAAGAGGATCAATATCCCCCCTGTCCTTGATTCGGGGCAAGCTGCATTGCTCCTCAGTGCCAGGTAAAGGGGTCAGATCAAGATGGGTAGCTGTGTAAGCCTGTCTGTACCAGTCAAAAAGAGCTTGAGTCGAGCAGCACCTTAAAGACTAACAGAATATGTGGCGGGGTATGAGCTGAAAGAGTGAGCCGTGACTCACGATAGCTCCTACCCTGCCACAAATTTTGTTAATCTTTAAGGTGCTCCTGGACTCTTGCTCTTTTCTACAGGTAAAGGATTGTTTTAAATAAATAGAGGCCAGCTGCTTCATCGGTTGGCTGTCTTCTGTTCAAGGAGGAAAAGAATAGATGATGTCATCTGAGAGTGTTAATGTACAAACTTTGTGATGGAGTATTGGTGGATATGAAGCAATTGACTATTTGATGAGATTGTAAAATGTTTGTTTCGAGAAGTGTAGGAGCACAGCATAACAGCACAAAGTGTGAGCAAACAGGGTGTCTCTGGTTCACCCTCCCCCCCAAACTGGCAGCCCCAGCCTTTCCTCTGCATCGTGGAGAAGACAATACAGAAAGAGTTATAGATAGGGATGGGCATGAACCAGCTGATGAACTAAAGTTGATCACAAAGTTTGGCCAGTTCGTGGTTCAGGAAGCGGTGTTCGTGAACTGAAGAACTGCCATGGACTTCCACGAATTTTGATGCAGTTCATGGCGGTTTGTGAAGAGCGGCCCCTGCTTTTTGCTGACGCAGCAGAGAACAAACCGCGCCCGGGGGGGGGGGGGCAGAAAGCAGGGTAAACTTTAAATGGCTCACGAACCAATACAAACAGGTTTGGTTTGCAAACCGACATATTGGTTCGTGGTTTGGTTTGTGGTTCAGCCACAAAAAATGAACGAGCCGCAAAAATGTGCTTTGTGCCCATCCTTAGTTATTAAGTGTTTGTTGGCACCAGTCATGTGAGAGATCCAAGACTGGATCTCCTGATCTTTTACGCAAATGAAATGCAGCTGTAGGAGCTGAAAAACTGGCTGCAGCAGTACGGAGGGAAAGGTTTTGTTTTTGCCATCAGGTGCCTCCTGCCCCCCATGCCATTTTCTAGATTGTTTCCCTTGCCTAGCTGGGGTTTGCCCTGTAAGGTACTTCTTACCTTTTCCCTCCCACAGGGCAAACAGCTACAGGGCGCGGTGCATTTTGATCAGAAAAATGAGTTGGTGCTGCAAGCACTGTGTGGTGGTGAAAAGTACTGTCAAGTTACAGCCAACTTATGGCAGCCCGGTAGGGTTTTCAAGGCAAGAGACGAGCAGAGGCGGTTTGCTATTGCCTGCCTCTGCGTCAGAACCCTGGACTTCCTTGGTGGTCGATCCTGCTTAGCTTCCAAGCTCTGCAGAGACTGAGCTAGCCTGGGCCGTCCAGTTTAGGGAGCAAGCAAATTTGCATCCCTCTAAATCTACCTCTAGTTTTGAAAAGTAGCTTTGAAACTTTAATAAGTATGATGTAATAATGGTTAATCCAAAATATAGTGACAGTTTGCCTGTGTACCATCTCCCCCTCCTGTCAATTGTGTCTTTTCAGCGAAGCCTTCAACTTAATCTGTTAGCCCACAAAATCTACTGGACCTAAGCCCAAGTATCATATTTTCTTGAAAGGAAAGTGACCATGAATTTAGTAAGATGACCCCCAATGCTGTACACACACACACACACAAAACTAACCGAATTGTACTTTTATGCAAATGTAAGACACCCACCGTGTTTTTGAATGGCATAGCTAGAAAAAACCCTAGTCTTCCATTTGAGTAAATACATTACGAGTAAAAGAACAGAGTACATATTTTCCCCATGTTCATCCTTGCTTCCCTCCCCTCCCTCTATTGCCTTCTCTCTTGTTGAATTTTAGATTGTAAATTCCTTGGGGCAGGGATGCAAATTACTCCTAGTACTACAGAGAATGTGTTTCTAGGACTGTGTCTTTTGCTTAGTGCCTACAGGAACAAAATACACAGTTTGTATTTTTCTGCGTTTCCCCGAATTACATCTAAATCCTCTGAAAATTCATCGGGAAACCTTAGGGTAAGAGTAAAGGTTTCCCTTGCATGAAAGCCAGTCAAATCCAACTCTAGGGTTGCAGTGCTCATCTCTGTTTCCAAGCCGAAGAGCCAGCGCTGTCTGAAGACATTTCCATGGTCATGTGGCCAGCATGACTAAACACCGAGGCGCACGGAATGCTGTTACCTTCCCACTGAAGCGGTACCGATTTATCTACTTGCAAAAGCTCCAGAGAGATTTTCTTACTTATACATTGTGTGTGTTTGGTTTGATTGCATACATAGCTCTGTTTACTTAAGATTTCTCTGTATGAAGGAGTTGGACAAATTTAAAAGGGGAGGGGAAGATTAACAAACAATTGCTAAATGGAACCACCAGGTTCAGAGGCAGTGTATCTTCCTGGACACATGTATACCTGGCCACTCTTAAAAAGCAGGATGCTAAGACTAGATGGGCCTTTGTATGATCCATTCTTTAGTTTGATCCATTCCTCTGATGTTCTTGGTTGAAGGCATGTGACGTGGCAGTCTTGCTGAAGTTAAGCAGATATGTGGGTCTGGGCCGTGTTTGAATGGGAGACCCCCAGGAGTCCCACGTAGAGGACCTTGAGATCTGTAACAGAAGAAAGGCTAGATATAAAAGTAATAAATCATTTCTTTCTAAAGGGCTGAGTGTAAGAAGGTGGCAGAGCTGAACGTGGCGGGGGAGCTCTCCAGGCTCAGCACAGTCCTTTGCATCCATCAGAAAGTCTTCTTCTTCCTCTTCTTGAAGAGCTTCAGGTCCGACGCTTGCATCCCAGTCCTGGTGCAGGTGAGTTGGTTGGGTGCAATGTTCCCTCTAAACTGTGGAGTCTCGTGAGCGAAAATCCTACTTGGTGAGCTGCTGGCATTAAAGTTGTGAGCGAGTGGTTTGGCTGCTGCATAAATTAGTTTGCTGTGGAGCCCTCCGTCCTGAGCGAAGACAAATACGTGTGAGCCGGAGGCTAAAAAATGGTGAGCTGGCTCACACTAACTCAGCTTAGAGGGAACACTGGTTGGGTGTCCAGCTGGATCTGCGCAGCAGCTCGGGAAAGCTCATTTCACAAGTCAGAGTCCTGCCTCCTTTCCATGCTGTCAGATTATTTCTCTTTCACACAGTGCACTTGTATTGTCACAGAATGCACCACGCACAAGGTCAGCTAGCCCCCCCGAGCAAAGTGACTAGTTGGTTGTTTCACGGGTGGTGGGTGGCCCCCCCGGCTCACCTGCTTCCTTTCCATGTTGTCAGATTATTTCTCTTTCACACAGTGCACTTGTATTGTCACAGAATGTACCACGCACAAGGTCAACTAGCCCCGAGCAAAGCGACTAGTTGGTTGTCTCACGGGTGGTGGGTGCCCCCCCCGGCTCATCCACTTCAGCTGCATGAACTTGGTGCTGGGTGGGGGCAACAGTGGGAAGGCTTCTGGAGTTCAGACTCCGCTGTTGGGCCTCCTGGTGGCACCTGGGTTTTGGCCACTGTGTGACACAGAGTGTTGGACTGGGATGGGCCATTAGCTCGATCCAACATGGTTTCTCTTATGTTCTTAAGAGCAGAGGTCCATGAGTGGCTATTAGCCACAAGGTACAGATGGAACTGTCTGAGGCCGTGATGCTCTGTACTCTTGGTGCTTGGGGGGAAACAGTGGGAGGGTATCTGGAGTTGGACCTCCTGAAGGCGCCTGGGTTTTGGCTACCATGTGACACTGAGTGTTGGACTGGATGGGCCAGTGGCCTGATCCGACATGGCTTCTCTTATGTTTTTGTGTTCTCATTGCACTAGGTGCTTTGAGTTCTGTTTTATTTATGCATTTAAAGCATTTATTAGCCACCTTTCTTTCTACAGAGTGCAATGTGGCTTCCAACATAGATAAATAAATTAAAAACATAAAAACCAAAAATTTCAAAATTGCAACTCAAGACTGCTAGTAAACGTTAACCAAATGTAGTCCTAAATACAACTGTCTTCGACTGCGTCCGTCCTAAAGATGGAAAGTGAGGGGGGCCAGGCCCACCTCCCTGGCGTGGTTTTAGGAACGGCAGGCTAAAAATATTAGAAATGAATAAAAATGGAAACGTCTTGCCTTGTGATTATTCAAGGGCTTTTAAGACTAAAGGGCTATCGGATATTCCTTTCCCTAGATTTAACAGCCATTAGTTACTCATCCATAATTACTCACCCAAAAAAAAGAAGTGAAAATGAAAGTCAGTTCCCTCTTGACACTATAAAGAGAAAAATTGCCACATCTCTCACACAGTTCGCCAATCTTCTTGGAAGCAGATAGCACACTGTCTGCTTCTAGGAAAATGTCATTAGCTGTTTCATCCAAGGAGTAACATATTTGTTTTGTGCGGTATTGTTTTGGGGACATACTAAAACAATATATTCCACACAATAAGGACATTTGCTTCGGCAGCGCATAGACAAACCCGGACATGGCAGCTCTGGTCGCTAGGTTCTTGGCTGAAGCGGTTAAAGATAGATACAAGCTTTCTGTATGCTCAGCCGTATTTTGCTGTCTTTGTAATGCCTTCTTGCTCATATTTTATCACACTTTGTATTTTATTGATATGCCATCAAAGCTATTTGATTTGATTTAGACTAAAGTTGGAATGATACTGAGAAGATGAGCCTGGCCCCTGCACAAGGATGACATGTTTTTTATGTTGCACCTATTTAAATGCAACCCGTTTTTGTAAAGGCATCTTGAATAGGGGAAAAGGGGAGATTCTGATGACTTTAATCGATAATTAAATTGTAGTTTTCAAGGTGTGTGCTGGACATTAGACTTGCGTGGGATGAGTTCCTGGCGAGGAATACGTCCCTCGTATGTGGAAGCCCAGATGGGTTCAAGGGATTATTAGGAATTATTAGGGATTGTTAGGAAAGGGATTGAGAATAAAACAGCCAATATTATAATGCTGCTGTATAGATCTATGGTGCAACCTCATTTGGAATACTGTGTAGAGTTCTGGTTACCATATCTCCAAAAGGGACAATGCAGAGCTGGGGAAAGTACAGAAGGGGGTGACCAAGACAATTAGGGGGTTGGAGCACCTTCCCTGTGAGGAAAGGCTGAAGAGCCTGGGACTTTTTCAATTGAGAAAAGAGACGACTAAGCGGGGGGGGGGCAGGTTTATAAAACAGTGCATGGGGTGGGGAGTGAGTTGACAATGAGACATTTTTCTCCTCCCAAATTACTAGAACCCGAGGGCCTTCAAGGAAGCTGATGGGCAGTAGATTCAGGACAGACAAAAGGAAACACTTCTTTACACAGAGGGTGATTAGAATGTAGGATTCACTGCCAGAGGATAAAGTGATGGAGACAGGAATGAAGAGTTTTAAAAGAGGATTAGATAGATTGGTGGAGGATAAACCTATCAGTGCCTACTAGCCATGGTGACTGAGGGGAACCTTCACATTTAGAAGCACTGGATCCCAGAGCCACAAGGCAGCATCAGGGGAAGGCATTGGCTGTTGTTGGCCGTCCAGAGGAAGTGGTTGGCCACTCTGTGTATGACAGGATGCTGGACTAGATGGACCACAGGTCTGATCCAGCAGGGCTCGTCTTAGGTTCTTAAGGGGGACATGGACCCTAATTTCTATTATTTCTTAGTCTATTGTTTCCAGTGGATTGGCATGGGCGGAAGCTGCACCCTGTTTTCTGGTTCGGTTCCCAAGTTAAATTGAGATTTTAAACTCTAATAGTGAAACAGGCCTTTTGAGTCTTGTTATATCCTTATCCTTGTTATATCCTTATAAGTCCAGCTGGGATAGGACGGTGGAGAGGTGGAGAGTAAGTTGTTACACCTGTTAAGGTTGTGTATAACCTTGATCCCTCACATTTTGTGGTTAGCTTCGCCTGCCATGGCAGCCATTTTGTGGTTGGCCCTGTATCCTGTGCAGCCATTTTGTGATTTTGCCCACTGTCCTTTGTCAAATTTCCAAAGGTCGCACAGGGACAAAAAGGCTGGGGACCCCTGCTGTTGGGAATGTTAGGCCGAGGGAGTGCTCAGAGGTACCCAGAGATGAATGGGTCTTTGAACCTGTGGCTCTCCCATCCAAACTCAACATGGGCCTTGAGGCATGGGTGGAAACTAGACGTCATCTTATGGTTACTGTCCATCTCTTTCTCTCAGAGACCTTTCTTCATTCATGTCTATTCAACCCCCCACTCTGTCATGGAAGCTCACTGGACCAGTTACACACAGACAGCCTAAATTACCTCACAGGATTGTTGTGAGGATGAAATAGAGGAAAGGACAACATTATAAGCCACTTTGGGTTCCTGGGGGAAGGAAAGTGTGGTATAAATGAAGTGAATAAATAAACAGACATACATAACATACAAGGAGTCCTTCTGGATTAAATCAGTGGTCAGTTTTACCACACTATTGCCTAATATCTTAAAGCATAATCCAGATTTATTGCCTTATTTGTTGTATGCATTGTACTGGGTTTTATTACATTTTTAAAAATCTGTAATACTGGAGATGATAAATAAAGTCAATACCTGAATAAAAAGATGACATGTCAGTGTGGTGTAGGAGTTAGGCTAGGAATGGGGAGATTTCTCTGTATACCTAACGTACACGAGTCTGAGCTTCTTGGAAGAAGTACAGAATGCACATCTAATAAATGCGTTTTGGTTTTTCGTCTCCACAAGTCTCCCCACTTGGCTTGGCATTGTGTTCTACAGCTGGAGCAAGGGTATGTGGTGACTGCTCTGAAAATGTCTTCCCTCAAAGCTTCGGGATTGAGAGTGTTTGTCACCAGCTCTTCCTCGCATCTTTTACCATACCATGCGGAGCATGTGACCGAGGAATTTATGGACAGTTCTTCAGAGGGAAGTGCAGTTTTGTCTGCTTCCCCAGTCACCTGCACGCCACTCAGCAGTTCCTTGGAGCTGGGAGAGGAAGTCAAGATGCTGGTTCCGGAAGTCCAAGGTGATCTTTTATGCGGTAAGTATATGGAAAGAGGGCTGTCCTGAACTTAGTCCCTGCACTGTGAGATTCCAGAGGCTTTGAGAAGAGTTTTTGGATGTCCCTAAAGCAGCTCTGCCTATTTAAATGTCATTTTAAAAAAACCTTTATAACAATTAATTTCACATTCTGTTAAGAACATAAGAAGGGCTCTGCTGGATCATACTAGTGGTCTATCTGGCCCAGCATCTTTTTTCACTCTATGGCCAGCCAGTTCCTTTGGAGGACCAACAAACAAGGCATAGAGGCTGAGGCCTTCCCCTCATGTTGCCTTCTGGCTCTGAGATTCAGAGGATTAGTGCCTCTGAATGTGGATGTTCCCCTCAGTCAGTTAGGTGTAGTGGTTAAGTGCACGGACTCTAATCTGGGAGAACCAGGTTTGATTCCCCACTCCTCTACTCGCAGCTGTTGGATGACCTTAGGCAAGCCATAGTTCTGTCAGAGCTGTTCTTGAAAGGACAGTTCTCGAAAGAGCTCTCTCAGCCCCACCTACGCCGGGCCCCCCCCCCCCAACCCACAATAAAAACCAAGAAACCATCAACAAAACTAAGAACATTATTTTATCTCCTCTAATCCTCCTACTCCTCCATGGCACAGACAGACATAAAGCACTCATTTCCATGATCAAAAACCCAGAAAAGGAAATCAAGACTCAATGAATATACATGGAATATAGGCAGTCTCCTTTTCTGAACTGCTGCTATTAGTTTCAGTTTCTTTGATCGCTTTCTAGTCCTTTCTAGTCGTCTTTTGAGGCCTAGCAGAGGACAGAAACAGATCCACCAGCCATACCAACAAGATGAAACCCACAAACAAAAAGGAACCAGAAACCTTTTTTCTGTCTCTTGTGACAACTGCAATTAGCCCCCTAGAGAAAAAAATTGCATATTTTCCATTGTAAAAGAAAATATTCCATAATCCACTTTTTTTCAGTTTTTCCAGAAAAAAGAAACAGCTTTGGGAAAAAGCCCGTCCCCCACATTTTCCCGTTTTCCCCAGACCTTCCCATCTGTAGCTCTGAGATTCTTCTTAACAGTCAAACTCGTATTCCTTCCCAAACATTGTCTTCTTCCATTCATTCTCCAGGGCACTATCACCCAAGTCCTGAATACTCAAGCCAGCCTCTACGAACTGGACAACAAGTTTACCCTTTGTCTTGCTTATCAGCAGCAGTTGAATTCTGGCCGCGGGCTCCGACCGGGCGCGTGTGTGGAGGTGAGGAGGTGGGTAGAAGGCGTTGAGTGGTGTGGGGGTACATGTTGTGTGGAAAGGAACCTGTGTTTATGGAGATGGTGGAAGTATTGTTGCATCCCCCCCCACCCGAACACAGCACAGCTAAGGAAGAGGCTGCAACTGATCTTTGCACAGGGCCATTAGTTTTGGGGGGTGGTATTTAAGAATCTAGGAGCCATGGTGGCTCAGAGGTTAAGACGCTGAGCTGCAGACCGGAAGGTCTGTAGTTTGGCAGTTCGAGACCCGAGTGC